CAGCAAGTTTAGGATGGAGCTTCCATGCACCCTCTAGTTCGGGACGGAGAACTTCTCCACGTTCTCATCCAGTAAAACAGTGCTGAATGAATTCCCCATGATATGTCTAATTGCTCACTGATCGTGTTTGAAATTTCCCCATAAATGTAGAGGCAGCACGCAAATGTGTCAAGATATCAAGCATGTGTACCCGAGCCGGCACCCTGCGTGTCCAGTGAGACTGGAGAGAGTGATGGACTTGAAAATGGGAAGCTCGATCGAAAGTTGTGAATGGTCCGTTCTCCTTCATGCTCACACCCGGACCACAAACTCGATAAAAGATGAGTCCGTGTCAGCAAACTTTTGGGCAGCGATGGCTATCGCATGGAAGCTAAGAACTCTGTTTGCAGACAAGTTTGTTCTTGAGGGAATCTTGATTTTGGAAGAGAGTTTGAAGCAATTGTAGCAAATATCTCAAGGAAAGATGAAGTTGAATTATTTACAAGAACTCCTAAAACCCATAAAGCCCATAACGTAAACTAAAAAATCTAAGATTTGATTGTTTTGACTAAATATCTATGGAGGCGTAGAAGTATCAGTAATAAGTGGTAGGATTTGATAATTATGAGGTAATTAAATAAAATTTTGGTATAATTGATTGGATTGTTGGAAATTAACTTTTTGAGATTTATTTTTGAGATAAAAAGAAGGTTAAATATATATTTTGAGAGATAAATTGTTTATGTTGCAATATAGTGAATGTCTCATAAAAAATGCTTATTGTTCAAGAAAACACATTATTAAAACACTTAAACACCTTAAACACCAAAGAAGTAATATGTAATATCATAAAGGTATTAAATAAAGCCCAAGATATTAATCTCTTAGAGAATAATAAATAAAAAGTGCTATCTAATGTTAAAAGTTGAGGAAAACTAAAGAGGGGGAAATCTGTGTATTCAAAATGGATAATGCCAAAAGAATTTTGGTAGGTTTAGGTAACTCTGGTCCAATAGTAAATGGAACACTGGTAAATAGTGGTCCAGGCTAGTAATAGGAATTTGAGGTAGTTCTAACGTGTGAAATTTTAAAATGAATATATCCAAATTAAGAAACCACTCCACTAAAATGATTAAGCTCCTCAAAGTTCATGGGGTTCTGTCAAACCCAAGAAATCTTTGCATTCTTTTCATGCCTCTTATGAAAGCTGGCATTTTCACGTGCTACCTTTGTCAATCTCATCAGCGTATCACTTCTCATTTAGGTGGATCTGGATCTTTCAACCATGAAGAACAAAGAGAAGAGATTAGCATTGCTAAGCATTTGCTGCAGGTTGGCTATAAAAGTGTAAACAAAGCGCATGCAGTGCTTTACGTAATGCTGGGACTTTCTGGCTAAGTGGACGAATGTTGTTTCATTCACTCTTGTGATGCTATTTTCTTATCTCTAACCAACATTCTGTTTCTTATTGTGATTGTAACCTGATGCCAGCATTGACATTTACCGAAAGTGCAATTAATTACATTTGGCAATATGTCAACAATGCTACATAAAAAGCGTGCTTATGACTCAAACTTGTTCTTCATTTCTCCAGAATTTAAGAGGATGGGTGACCGGAAAGCAGTGGATTCGAATGGACAGCAACGGTTGCAGTCGATGAAAAATCTCCACTGGATCAAAGGGCTGTGGATCAGTATTTCGATTTGCAGAAAGACTATCTGCAACTGATAAGCCAAGTGGAACGTGGGTTTATGGGAGTCCGAGTTTATCCGTTTTGTCATCGAATTCCACTATCAAAGTCACCATGAGGCAGCGATAGTGCCGTCTGAATCCCGTTTTCATGAATTGGAGGAAGAAAGAGATAAGGCTGTTCTGAGGATCCTCTTGCAAGTAACTGCGATCTGGCACAAAGCATGGGAGATTTTCCGAGTATATTGGTGGATGGCAAAGACGAGAGACTTCAAAATGCCGCCACTATTGTCCGCCAGCACCAAGGTCAACTATGCATTCACCAGCTCCAGAGGGACATGCACAACTTGTACGACGTGTCACTACAGAGCCTCCTGTTCGTTCTGGAGACGCCGCTGGTGCCTCCTGGGGATCTAGTTGCGGTTATTTTCAAAGGCATGGAGGCGGCTTAACAAGTACGTGGTTTTGGAGCACAGCGGACACTCGCAGCGACACATGGTTATTACTATTGCGATACGACGCAAGTAGGCTTGTCGCTGCTGGGAGGCCTTTCAGAGAGAGTGATATTCTTAACGGGGATGAACGCACAAGGAGCTGGTTCAGCTGCAAGAAATACCGAGGTTCGCCTTGTCAACTTTTCCTCAGCCGTTTCGGCACTTGAACAGCTTTCAAACTCCTCCTCGGACTTGACAACAATTCTTGCAGATCAAAGGACTCCGCCTCAAGATCCCCCAGCGCCTACAATAGCGAATCCAAACCCCTAGACCAAAATATTTCTATGTGACCCCGTGTCGTATTTCCTCATGGTTTTTCTTTTGTTTTTAGCTTCAGGATTTCGTGCTTGGCATACACTCTTTTCTGTGATAAGTTTTTGCATTGTCAAAGATCCAAAAGTTTATGCAAGACTCACACAATACAAGCTTCGAGCTGTCCTGGAATGATACTCGAAAGCCAGAGCATCCTCGCATATCTTCCATTTCAGGCAGGCTTTCGATGGCAGAAACTTGACCCTCTTTGCAAAATGTGGAGTGAAGATCAGACGTTTTCAAGAATGTGTGATGACTTTGATAACTTCGTGGAGCATCTCAGCAAATTTTGATCAACACTTCATTGATCCCACAAGCATACTACAAAATACTACAAAAATACTTCAACTACGCTATTGCGGAGCTAAAGGGGTGTAAATGCAGCACGGTCGGACGTGGCCACAGCTTCTTGGGAATTCATGACGCCTCATGTCGAAAGCCACAGGCCATAAGAAGTAAAAGTCGTCCAAGGAAACAAGCAGGTTGACGCCCGCAGTAAACCATTGCAAGTGGTATTCTGGAACATTGTCCCCACGATAGTCATGAAGCTGCTTCACCACCACACCACTGATCGCCTTCAGGAGCCCACTCTCATGGTCGACCTCCAGCAGCGCCAGCCCCCCATCATCCATCCGACTGCCTAGGGCTGCGGTGTTGTCAATGCAGCACAGCGCGGCCACCATGATCCTCGGCCCAGAGCGGAAAGGAAACGCACGGCAGTAAGTGTAGCCGGCCAACTCCTCTGGCTTGGGAAACACCAGCAAGCCCTGTTTGCCTTGCTCAGAGATGCCGACCCCGCTCCACTCGCCGCTGCTCCAGTCGTAGGCCTTGAGCCCGCCATCCCAGAAAGCAAACTCACCCGCGACGTCAACTCCCAAGCGTTGGTGCTCGAGTCGAAGGTGTGGAGGTGGTGGTGGCCATGCTCGCCAACGTTTGTGTGGAGGATGTGGACCCAGAACCGGCTATCGTCACCTCGCACTTGCAACCTCGTCTGGCCATGTCTGTATGACCAGTCCTGGTATCCGATGGAGGCATCCATGGGCAGCGTCAAGGCGGGAAGGATGCACTGAAGGCCGGTGACCGGGTTGCACACTGCGGCGCGGAAGCACCAGTCGAAGTCGTCGAGGAGGCCGCAGATGAGGCCTGAGGGCGACGAGGACAGTGGGTGTAGTGGCGAGGGAGGAGCGTGTTAGACACCACGGCAACCAGCTCCTCGTCTGGGTACCAAGTCAGCAGGGGCCATTTGTGGCTTCCCCATAGCAAACACCAATCTACTAAAATTATATGTTATCTCCACATTACTTCATTAGTTCACGTGTCGTTTAAAGTTTGCCTACCCTAGATTCGTGTGGAATGTTCTATTTGAAACTATTTCTCGCCCTTTACCTCTGTTTTTAGGGCTCTTCCCTTACCTTTAGGGTCCTTCCTTTAACTCTGTTTTTAGGGTTCTTCCGCGGGTTGGATGCTCCGGCGATGGGCCGCGGCCGCGGCATGCAGGACTAGAGCGCGATTGATCGCTGCCGGGAAGCTCGAAGAAGACGAGGAGGATGACGATGCAGGGAATGCGCGGAGGAAGAGCCGTGGCGAGGATTTCCGGGAGCTTCAGGAGTTTCTCAGGATCATCGATGCCAGGGACGAGCCGTTCGATGTGGATTCCTATCAGCACGTCTTGCAGCTGTGCACGCGGCTGCGCGCCATGGCCGAGGGCGCCAGGGTCCACGATCACATCCGGCGGAGCCGGATGGAGGCCGAGCGATTCGTCGGCAACGATCTCGTCTTCATGTACGCGGCATTTGGGAATCCGGGCGAGGCGCGCCGGATCTTCGATGGCCTCGGCAGCCACAACGTCCTCTCCTTCACCGCGATCATGCGCGCCTATGTCACGGCCGGGGATCCAGACGAGGCGCTCAAGATTCTCCACCTCGCGCGGCTCAAGGCGTTCAAGGCCGATCCGTCGATGCTCGCCATGGCCGTGGAGGCCGCTGGGATGAAGCGCGATCTCTCCCTGGGGCGATTCTTCCACGACACGATCCGGCGCTGCGGGTATGATCTTGACGCCGGGGTTGCGATCTCGCTCATCGGGATGTATTCCAATTGCGGCGAGATCGAGGCCGCCGTCCAGGCGTTCGATCGCGTCAAGAGATTTCACAGGGTCTTGGTGTGGAACGCTTGCCTCGAGGCGTTTGCCAGGAACGGGGATCTATCGCGGGCGCTGGGGATGTTTAGAGTGATGATCTTGGAGGGAATGCCGCTCAATCCTTCCAGCTTCCGGATTGCGCTTGGAATTTGCCGCAGCGCGGAGGATTTGTCGATCGGGAGGTTGATCCACTCGTGCGCTAGCAGCAGCAGCTGTGATCTCCGCCGCGATCTGGCAGTGGAGCTCGTAAGGATGTATGGAATTCGCTGTGGATCCCTCGACGAAGCCGTGGAGATCTTCCAGAGGATTCATAAGAAGGATCTCCAGGCTTGGAACGCGATGATCCGGGCCTATCTCACTCACGGACACCGGATCAAGGCGCTCGAGGGATTCACGCGGATGTGTTTGAGCAAGATCGTCCCGGACAGAGAGAGCTTCCTCCTGGCGCTGGATTCCAGCCCCGGGCTCAAGGATTGCAAGATGATCCACGCGCTGCTGGTGAGGAACCGGGTGGAAATCTCCGACGCCATCCGCGAGAAGCTGGTTGCTGCCTATGGATCGAGCCGGCCGGGGCGAGATGGGCAGAGGGCGATGGCGAAGATCCACGAGAGAATCCTTGGCTGGGATAGGGAGAAGCGCGAGGAGGAGAGCTACGTCTTTAGCTTCTTCGACTTCCAGGACTAAGTCTCGGGTTCGAATCGCCAGGCGCGGGGCCAGGGTTTATGAAGAACCCTAAGGGTTTTTCCTCGCGATGAAACGAGCGCGATCGACTGCTGCTGGGCTGCTGGGTAAGATCACGAGACTCCAATTGGGCTGCATTGTTACTGATTCCTCTTTCCAGGGCGATTTCTCCGGCAGTGCCAGCAGCAGCAGGGATCGAGAGGGGTCTCGACTGGGCCAGAAATTCTCTCTAGTCCACTGATCTCGACTTTTCTTCCTGGAGTGAAGTATGGCACCGCGAATGTCCTGGCGGAGCAGTACAGGATCCAGTCCCAGACCGCGGGAAGCAAGCTGGATCATCTGGGTGATCGACTGGAGGCGTTTCTTCGAGCTCCAAGCAGCGATGTGGTCTCCTGGACGAAAATTCTGGCAGCTTGCAACGAGCACAGGGACTACATTGGAGCTCTGGACCTCTTCGATCGGATGCGCGAGCAAGGCGTGGTGCCGGACAGGATTTGCTTCGTGACGGTGCTCGACTCGGTGATCGGGCTGGGAGATATCGCGCAGGGGAAGAGAATCCACTCGATGGTACTGGATCGCGAGCTCGAGAGAGATTCGATGGTCGGGACCGCGGTGGTGAAGATGTACGCCAGGATCGGAAGCATCCAGGACGCTTGCCGGGCGTTTGATCGGATCGACCAGCCGGGAGTGGCGGCATGGACTGTTCTCGTTGGAGCTTACTGCCGGCTGGGGAGCTTCAACAGCGTGATGCAAATCCTGGAGAGGATGGAGGCCGAGGGAGTGAAGCCCAACGAGGTGACGTTCATCACCATCCTGGATACTTGCAAGAACCTCGCGCTGGAAGATGGCAAGAAGATCCAGGCGCTGGCGAGCGAGCAGCAGCAGCGCAGCCTGGACGCCAGCGCCAGGATCGGCACTGCAGTGATCGGGATGTTCTCGCGGTTCTCGAGCATGATCCTGGCGAGGGAGGCGTTCGACAAGATCTCGCAGAAGAGCGTCGCGGCTTACACGGCGATGATCGCCGGCTACGCGAACAACAAGCAGCCGAGGGAGGCGTTGGCGATCTTCCAGGAGATGATCCGGAGGAGGGTGGCGGCGGACAATCTCGTTCTCGCGGTGGCGATCAGCGCCTGCGCGAGCATCCCCGATCTAGAGGAAGGGAAAGCTCTCCACTGCTCGGCGATGGATCTTGGCCTCCACCGCGACGACGTTGTGAGGACCGCGCTGGTGGACATGTACTCGCGGTGTGGATCCATGGAGGACGCGAGCGCGGTGTTTGGCGAGATCGAGAGGCCGGATACAGTAGCGTGGTCGGCGATGATCGCCGCGCTGGGGCGGCACGGCGATCCTCGCGGCGCGGTGGCGATGGCGGCGAGGATGCAGCAGGATGGGTGGCGGCCCAGCGGCGCGACGATGGTGGGCGTGCTGGCGGCGTGCGCGCACGCCGGGATGATCGAGGAGGCGGTGAAGTTCTTCGTGGATATGGCGGTGGATCACGGGCTGGCGCGCGAGAGGGAGCACATTGGCTGCCTGGCGGACGCGCTGGGGAGGAGAGGAGAGCTCGCGCTGGCGGAGGAGCTCATCCGGGCGATGGCAGCGGAGGAGTGGGACGAGAGGATCTGGCACTCGCTGCTGGGGAATTGCCGGAGCTACAACGACATGGAGCGCGCGAATCGCTGCGCGGACGTGATCATGCGGCTGGATCCAAAGACTGATCCTCTGGGCGGTGGCGGGATGATCACTGGCGGAAGAGCTCCCGCGAGGTGGGAGGATGCCAAGCGAGTGAGGAAGCTCATCGCGGCGAGGGCGATCAAGAAGGAGCCCGGGAAGAGCATGATCAGCGTCAAGAACAACGTTCGTGGCTTCGTCGCGGGCGATCGATCGCATCCTCACACCAAGGAAACGTATGAGGAGGTCCACAGGCTCACCGATCTGATCAAGAAGGAGGGATACATCCCCGACACGAGGTATGTTCTTCACGATGTTCCGGAGGATCAGAAGGAGAGATTGCTGTGGTATCACTCCGAGAGGCTGGCGATCGCGTATGGATCGATCACGACGCCGCCAGGGACGGCGCTGAGGATCATCAAGAACTTGCGAGTTTGCGGCGATTGTCACACCGCGACGAAGCTCTTTGCGAAAGTGATGCAACGGGAGATCATCGTGAGGGATAACAGGAGGTTTCATCACTTTGCGAAGGATGGGACGTGTTCTTGCGGAGATTATTGGTAGCCTAAAGGTTATAAGATCTTTCTATTTGAAACTCCCACCTAGGGTATATCTTTATCGCATAAACCCTAAAACGCCGCGTTCCAGGGTTTTAGGCGAGGGTTTTAGTCGCGAGAGAGGGCGCCCGGGCAATGAGGCAGGCGCGCGGCGCGATCAGGGCTGGCTTGCGAGGTATGTGTGCCGCTAGAGCTTGTAGCGCACTGTCCAGGTTTTCTTGCCGGGATTGTGATGGAAATAGGCGGTGCGGGCAATGCCTGCTGCTGCCAGGGTCGATTGGCATGGATTTCGAGGTCTAGAGGATGGCCAGTGTCGCATTCTAGCGGAATGAAGCAGCATTTGCTTGTAGATCTTCCATTTCTAGCGTTTCTTACCGTGGGCACACGGATTTCCTTTGCTTGCTCTACCACTTTGATTTCCTTTGCGTGCTCTACCATTTTGATTTCCTTTGCTTGCCCGTTTTGATTTCGTTTGCTTGCTCTGCCATTTTGATTCTGTGCTACCATCTTCTAGAAGTTCTCTAGATTTTTCAAGTTCTAAACGTTGGTGTTCTTCGTTTGGATTTTCCAGGATGGCGCCAGTGTATGCAAGTCCAATTTCCATTCCAGCAGACGATCAGGCAGGCCAGCGCCGTGGCTGTTCCAGCCTACACTCCTCCGCCCTTGCCGACCGTCAGGCAAGTCAGTGGAGTGCCGCCGCCAGTTTACACTCCACACACGGCTCCCATTCCTCCGGGGATGTGGGGGAAGTTCTTCATCATCCCCCGGCACATCTCCGAGGAGCCCGCGGGTCGCAAGCTTGCAGAACTTGGAAGTAAGATCGACGCGTTCTTAAAACTTCCCAACAAGGACGTTGCGGCCTGGGCACAGATTCTAGCAGCTTGCACCGAGCACCAGGAATACGTTGACACTCTCGACCTCTTCTACTACATGAGGAGAGAGTCCGTGGTTCCGGACAAGGCTTCTCTGCTCGCTGCAATGGAAGCTGCGGTGGGACTGGGTGATGGCGCGGAGGCGAGAAAAGTCCACTCGCTCCTCGTCGATGGTGGTTTCGACTCGGATCCAGAAGTCAAGTTTGCGGTGATGAGAATGTATGCAAAAGTTGGCAGCATCCAGGAGGCATGCAATGCTTTCGACAAGATCGAGAATCCAGATGTGAAGGCTTGGACGACGATGCTCGAGGCCTACTGCCGGCTCGGGAAGTATAACGCGGTGCTCCAGATCTTAGATGTGATGGCCAAGGAAGGAGCGCCGCCGGACGAGGATACTTACGTTCTCGTCGCTCAGAAATCCAGGAACATTACAGTGGATGAAGCCAAGAAGCTCCAGAGGCTAGTCGAGGAGAAGATTGGGCTGAGCGCCAAAGTCGGGACCGCGATCATCAACATGTTCGCGGAGAAGTTTGGAAGTATGATCCTTGCTCGGGTGTGCTACGACGCGATCGAGGACAAGAAGGTGTCCGTGTTCTCGGCAATGATGAAGGGATACCTGGCTCTCAACCAGTATAGGGACGCGATCGACATTGCTCACGACATGCTGGAAAAGGGGGTGGAGCCTGACGTGTTCGCTCTCGGCTATGGCCTCACGGCCTGTGCCGGAGCGCGAGAGGTGGAAGAAGGCAAAGCTCTGCACTACACGGCTATGGAGTACGACAAGCACGAGGACATCTTCGTGAAGAACGCGATGGTTAACATGTACTCTCGCTGCGACTGCCTGGACGAGACCAAGTTGGCGTTTGAATCATCGGAAGAGCACGACGTCGCGGCCTGGTCCGCGATGATTGGAATCCTGGGAATGAAGGACGAGAGCGATCGAGCGCTCAAGCTGGCCAGGATGATGCAGCAGGACGGGGTGATGCCGGACAAAGTTACGTTCGTGGACATCCTCACGGCGTGTGCTTACGGTGGTCACCTCCAGGAAGCTGGCCGCTACTTCAAGGACATGAAGTTCGACTATGGACTGGTCCCGGAGATGGAGCACTACGTCGCTCTGGTGGACACGGTTGCGAGGAAAGGCTACCTCCAGGAGGCCGAAGACCTGATCCGGATGGTGCCGCTCCAGGTGAACGAGATCATCTGGTTCGCGCTGCTCGAGTGCTGCAAGTCCCAGAACGATGCTCCGCGGACGCAGCGCGTGGGCGAGATCATCATGAAGATCAACAACAAGCTTGATCCGCTGGGAACCGGAGCTCACAGGGTGGCGGCGAGATGGGAGGAGGCCAAGCGCGTGAGGAAGCTCATGACGGACAGGGGGATCAAGAAAGAGCCCGGCAAGAGTATGATCAGCATCAAGAACACGGTGCATGGGTTCGTGGCCGGCGATCGCTCGCACCCGCACACGAGGGAGATTTACGCCGAGGTGGACAGGATCACCGCGCTGATCAAGAAGGATGGATACATCCCCGACACGAGATACGTTCTTCACGACGTTCCAGAGGACAAGAAGGAGAGGCTGCTGTGGTACCACAGCGAGAGGCTGGCGATGGCTTACGGACACATGAACACGCCGCCGGGGCAGCCACTGAGAGTGATCAAGAACTTGCGAGTGTGTGGAGACTGCCACACCGCGTCCAAGCTCTACGCCAAGGTGATGCAACGAGAGATCATCGTGCGCGATAACCGGCGGTTCCACCACTTTGCCAAGGATGGGACGTGCTCTTGCGGTGACTACTGGTGATCCAGGGATCAGCTTCGTCCAAGACTGTAGGTAAAAGTCTCTCTTTTCTTCGTTGTTCTTGACATATTCACTCGCTTTCTTCTAACTTCGCGTCTTTTTGTTTCGCAGTAAGGCAATTCTGCGCTAGCTCGCAATAAACTGGCCAGTGATAGAGAGCTTTCATAGAGAGACTTTAGCTAGTTATAGTACTGTGTAGGAAAACAGGACTTAAATTCAAAGTGGTGTTTTTTCAGGTAAGTTGATGGTCACTCATGTCAAAACGCTCAAGAGCTTGAGTTTTCCCGAGAGGATGTGATGGTGCTTGCTACTGAGAGTTTTGAGATTTTCCTCATACTTGTTTTCTTAGCGGCGCTTCTTGCTCTTGGACTTTTTGGAGCTGGAAGGAGCCACCATCAGGTACACGAAGATCCCCACGATGGAAAGCACCGACACAAGAGGGCCGTATTTCAACGCGATGTTCTGGACGGGAAGAAGTAAGGTGTTAGAAAAGCTCCAGAGGAACGGAAGAAATCTACCTTGATCTGCGTGTGAGATTGTTGTACGGGAGACAATCGCAAGTAAGCAGTACTTTAGTAGCAGAGGACGAGGACCAGAAAAGCTTTAAAAACTTACGAAATCGTATTTGATCCCACTTGGTTTGTCGGAGAGAGTGTCCAGCGGCGGCAGTGGAGTAGACCATGCTTCCTGATTGATTGATCATCACAATGTACAAACCATCACGACGACGAAAATTCCAAGACAACGAATGCTCTCGAAGTTATCATCTCTAGAACACGTACCTGTAGCGCTGATTTGGCCGCCACGCGATACTTCACGACCGCGGGAGCGGCTTGAAACGAACCCTTGGTTTTGGGCTCCAAGACAAACGAATGCTGCAGGGACTTTCCACTGCAAAACAGTGTGAGTTCTACAAAAAATTCCAAGGAGAAGCAAAAAAAAAACAACCATTGAAACTTACACTTCTAGCTTCTCCCATGCTGTGGATGTGTCCCCGGACACGACATTGAAATAAGAACTGGGCCACGAATCGTCGATCAAGCTCACATCATACGCTGTGCTGCAAACGTTCCAATCGTAAGAATCTGGATAGCGATCAAACTCTATCCCAGGGCAGAGAATTTCTATCAATCAGTGCAAGAAAGCAACAAAGTCATGCAATTCAATCCAATCAGATCGAAAATATAATCGAGCAATCCCAGGCCGATTCCTCCAACCTAGCTCAAGGTTTTTCTTACTTACGTGGATCCCGCGTTGTGAACGACGAGCGAGACAGTGATGCGCTCCGATCCAGGCTTCAATCGCTTGATCTGCACCTCCTTGTGCAGGAGAAGGAATGCGCCACTGCTGGCATCCGCGAGCGCTCCCACGGCGCCGAGCAGCGCCACGAATGCGAAGACGAGGGCCGCTCCAGCCATAGCTTAGCTCGCCACAGTCAACAAACCCCTAAACTCTCTCGGAGCCCTAAGAACTGCCGAGATCCCAGCCGTTCGCCATTCAACGCTCAGGATTGGGCTTCCGTTAAGTCTGTTTTATGTTTAATCTTAAATAAAACACCCCTCCAATTTTCCCGGACTCCGAGTTTAGATACTTGGAGACACGGACGGCTGCGATCTGCCCATCCGCGCATCTGGCTGACACGTGTCAGTTACCAACGTTAATGTTTGTGCCCGCTCGGGCAGCCCAGGGCGTGGGAGGAGATTTTTGACGGGTTCTTTTATTTTACGGGCAGCGCGGGCAGCTTCGTCTTCCTCCTCCCGGCTATGGCGTCGCGGGCCTTGTAGCTCAAATCCTCCCTTTTCTCCCCATCCGCGCGTTAGATCTCGGTTTTTTCCTCGCATTTGGCAGCTCGGGAGGCCGCGAGTGGTAGGGTTTAGTGAGGGTTTTGCTTCGGCGGCTATGGCTACACTGGATTGCTACTCTTCGTCTTCTCTTTGTTCCTCGTCGTCTTTGTTCCTCTTCGTGGCTTCGTGTTTCCTTGCTGAATGGCGCTTGAATTGAAAGACTGTTTCTCTCCTGACGATCCCGGTTCTTTGCAGGCCAGAAAGAAAAACATTCCTTCCTTAGATCTCTCTTTTGTGTTCTTCTAGCAGCGATTCGTTTCCATGGCGCTGGTTGGAAAGAGGCTTCTGGAGCTCCGAGGCATCGATGGAACAAGGTACTGTAATTTCTTCTTCCCAGATCTTCTCTAAACGATTCTTTTCCAGTTTTCCAGCGGCAATCTTCTCCTCGCTTCCAGGTGAGTTTGATAGAATAGATCAAAGTTTTGGTTTCTATGATTGTTCTTACATAAGAAACTGTGACCATGAGAATTTTTTATGCCTTTCTTTGCAGATGACGATACTAGCATGGGTCCAGACATTTCGGAGGTATCAGTCTATCCATCTATCCTTGAGTTCTTTAGCGATTTAACAACGATTTCTTCTTTGATTCTTCCCAGGAGGAACCATCTCTGTCATCATCGAAGCTAACGGAGGACAACGATGGAGAAGAAGAGGTAATCCACAGTATCGGGCTCTCGATTTGATTTTAACTTTGATCGGTTCATAGACTGGATCCGAGTGTGAGGTGACCCAAAAGGACGACGAGGACGATCACAGCGACGAGGACGAAGACAATGGCGGGCGCGAGAGCTCGGACGTGGACGACGGTGGCAAGAACGACGACGACGAGGATGGCGATGGCGGCGGCGGCGGCGGCGGCGATGGGGAGGAGGAAGCCGGAGGGGGCGACGACCCAAGCTACGAGGAAGAGGAAGGAGAAGAGGACGAGGAAGAAGAAGTGGAGGAGGACGATGGGGATGAGCCCTACGAGGAGGAGGAAGATGACGAGGAAGACGAAGAAGACGAGGAAGATAACAATGACGAAGACGAGGAGCCTCCCAAGAAGCGAAAGAAGTGAAACGGGCAAAAAGGAGTTTAGGGTTCTTCCTTTTAAGAGACAATTTGATTTAGGGTTTCTTAGCGGATATTGTCAAGAATATGCTTTTTTAAAAGTCTGCCCTAAACCCTAAGTAAACCAGATTGAAACAAAATTCGTTCTTAAGTTTACTTTTCTCGGTATTCGCTCAGCACCCATTCGCTAGCAAGAAAAGTTGACAACGTCTTACTTATATTGACAGCTTCTTACTTAGGCCTAGTTTCATACTACAAATTATGCTTAAGATTGGTAGGTGGGGTGACGGCATTTTGACCGAAACCATTATCAACGGTGGCGATGCGCGGGAGGCCGACGGCCAGGATGCGCCCTTGGACAACACTATAAAAGTTTTCGGCTGGGGGGGAGCTCTCGAGAGGTGAGCGATCGATCGTTTGGATCGAGCGAGAAGGATAATCCCGAGTGAGAGAGAGAGAGAGGAGATGGGCAGCCTAGAATCGCCACGAACAGCGCACGGATGGGCCGCGCACGACGGCTCCGGCATTCTCTCGCCATACGAATTCCCTCTCAGGTTTTTTTCCTTCCATTTCCCTGTCGAGCGCGAGTGGATCGAATTGGCGAGATGAGAATTTCGTGCTCTTGCAGGGAAGTGGATCCCGATAGCGTGGAGATTAAAGTGCTCTACTGTGGAATCTGCCACACCGATCTCCACCAGCTCAAGAACGACTATGGAATGTCGCGATACCCAATGGTTGCCGGGTATGAAATCCTCTTTCTATCGAATTCCTTGCGAGAACTGATCGATCGATGGAATTGGGTTTGATTCCAGGCACGAAGTGGTGGGAACCGTGACGAAAGTCGGTGCCGGCGTGGAGAGATTCAAGGTGGGCGATTGCGTCGGCGTCGGATGCATCGTTGGTTCTTGCCAGGATTGCAATGCTTGCACCGGGGATATGGAGCAGTACTGCTCGAAAAAGCGATGGACCTACAACGATGTCTTCCCCGATGGCGAGCCAACTCAGGGTGGATTTGCCGATCTCATGGTTGTCGATCAAAGGCAAGAAGAAAAATCCTCCTTTTCCTTCCAAGTTTTGTTCTTCAAGTTCTTCCCAGACTTTTCCAGCGAAAGAGTTCTCCAAGTTTCCTCCGACAAAGTTCTAAGTGACAAAGATTCGGTCGAAAGTCTTCCAAGTTCTTGTCACGTCGCCGCTACCAAGTTTTCCCAAAAGTTCTTCATGCCGAGACCCATATTCTCGTCCCCACTTTCATCCCCTGTCTCTTTCACTGTTCTTGAGCTCCATAGCTTTTTCCTGCGAATTCTTCCTCGTTCCTGACCGGGAGCTATCTTTTCTTTCCAGATTCGTGGTGACCATTCCAGAGGGACTGTCACTCGACGCCGCAGCTCCGCTTCTCTGTGCCGGGATCACGGTCTACAGCCCGATGAAGCACTTTGGAATGACCGAGCCTGGAAAGAAGTGTGGTATCCTCGGTCTCGGCGGTGTCGGGCATATGGGAGTCAAGTTCGCCAAAGCATTCGGTCTCCACGTTACGGTAATTAGCACTTCTCGCAGCAAAGAGAAGGAGGCCCGAGAAGTTCTGGGAGCGGACGACTTCTTGGTCAGCACTGATCCGGAGCAAATGGCAGTAAGTTTTCTCGTCTCGTCTGGCTCGAATTCTTTTCTTGTCTCTGCTGCTTGATGCTTACCTCTTTCTCTGGATGTTTGTATTTTACGATCAGGCTGCTGCTCAATCCCTGGATTATATCCTCGACACCATTCCAGCTCCTCATCCGCTGGATATGTACTTGCCTCTCTTGGGAATGAATGGCAAGTTCATTCTCCTTGGAGTTGTTCCGGCACCTCTACAGTTCGTGGCTCCTAATATCCTCCTGGGTAAGAACGAGAGAAAAGTTTAAATGGTTTGAGAGAGACAAGAAACTTACTTGTGGCTTGTGTCCAGGACGACGTATGATCGCCGGGAGCTTTGTCGGCAGCATGAAGGAGACGCAAGAGATGCTGGAGTTTAGCGCCGAGAAGAAGATCGAGTGTATGATCGAGACGGTAACTTTCGACTACATCAACGAGGCGATGAAGCGGCTGGAAAAGAACGACGTCAGATACCGATTCGTGATAGACGTAGAAAAGTCGAACAAGAGCGCGTGAAAACAGTCACACAAAGAATGAAGACAGAGATACACACACAGATCATACACACACTTACCATGCACAAGGAAACAAGAGGGTGGTGTTTCAATTCAACGACGACCGAGTTATAGTATCTTACTGTACATCGATCGATCTGTTTGGAATAAATCCAAGAAACTAGTCTGGAATTCAAGGAATTAAAGAAAAAAAGAGTCAATATCCACAGGCTGGTGAGCGGCACACAAGCAGAGTCACAGGACGGGAAGGTGTGAAGACAACCCAACACTCTTTGTTGGAAAATGACAGCACGTCTCAGTCAAGCCACGAAAGCACGACTCCTCCAAACTAGACCTTAACCACGCAAAATGCAAAGATAATGAAAACTAGTTCGTACCTTGAGGACCCGTTCTGAAAGGCGATCATGCGCTCACGCTCGCTTCTGAGTGGAGCAAAGTGCGTTACACTAAAAGATTCAGGGCCCAGTGATGAAAGCTGAAAGGTATACCTTATTTATATTCGCAGTCGTGTGTCGTGTGTCGGTAGCTACACTCATTCTTTGGCCTTTTCACTGCTGTCTACGACCTCGTCTCTCTTGTTCTTCTTTACCTTGTGCAAGAACTTCTCGTCCCATGTCTCAAACTCGTTGTTTGTGGCTTCATGTTCGAAGTCTTCTGGCTTTTCTGCATGCTGCAAGTGACGAGCAAGATGTTGTTTAGGCAAGGCGAAGCGAATTTAGAACAAAAGAAGAAGCAGAAGACATTTTTGTGACTAGCTTCTGAAAAGTTCTTACGGCGGATTGCTCGGCGAGATTTTGTAGCCTCGAGAGAAGTCCAGTGCCCCGGTCCCGCAGCTCTTTTATTCTGGTTTTCTCAAACAGCATCCTTGTGATGTTCTCCTTTATCTGCGCTTCTTCCAAGCTTTGGTTGTTCACAGCAATCTCAAGCTGGAGCCCATGGAGAGAAAATATCAAGCTCTTTTGTAAAAGAAGAAAGGATAAAAACGACAGCCGACTGACCTGGACATGGAGTATACATGCGAGTACACTAGCTAGGGGTAACCAGCTATCATCTGTCGACAAAGACATCCCACTCCTGCATCGTTTTCAATCACAAGTCAGCGAAGTAAACTAAGGACAGGTTCTCACTTGAGGTAGGGAGCAAGATAAACTATCGAGAAGACGAGATATCTTCGTTTGCTTGTATCAAGCCACGCAAATACCCATGCCTAGTAACAAGACAGTTAAGTTCATAGTAAGAAAAGAAGAAGACCTTCATAAGTTCGATAAAGAAAAACAAAGAACGAACAAAAGAGATTACCAGCCAGTCGAACAAAGGAATGAAACTTATAATCCCCATTGCTGCGTAGCGAACATCGTCTGGACCAAAAACACTGCCATCGGGCTTGGTTTGTCCACTTGGTAGAACCAAAGAGCTCAAAACACAAGCACCGATTGCCACTGCGTAGGGAGCGTCCTCTTGTAAAACAGCCTTCCATTGTGCCTTGTCTACGTTTTTCTTCCATGTAGAACTAGAAGAACGAACAAAGAAAAAGATCGAGCTCGTAGTCCTTAGAAATCGAAGAAAAAATCTACCTTAGTTTGCCTAGATTGTGCAGAGGACGAGCTTGGATTCCTGTTCTAAGAGATTTAACTCCTCGCGCTGCGAAATATTGCTCTTATTTCAAGCGAAGCGATCGAACGATCGACGGAGGATTGCAAATGCGGCGAGAGAAATCTTGCTTACCTGATAGATTAGAGCAGACGAGATGCCGCGATGGCGTCGCGAGGAAAGAGCTCGCCATTTCTCCCTCCTCGTCCTCCCGCGACCTAAAAACAAAATCGCTGTGCTCCACTGGTCGTGCGTTCGATACTCTTCCCCAGCAAATATTGAGTTTTAGGGTTTATGCCAATGGCGCCTAAGCAGAGAGGCGTGGCACTGGTGCGTTTGTCTGCAGAGGAAGAGAAGGCGCTCTCTCGGATCGTCGGTAATGTCGCCTCGAAATCAAGCTCCAGCGGCGGCGAGATCGTCGATAAGAAGCAGGCTGTGAAGAAGCTGAGGAAGATTTATGATAGTCTAGGGAATGAGGGATTCACTGCTGAGCAGATCGAGCTTGCTCTAGCCGCCATTCCGCTGGTAAGCTGAGAAAACTTCTCATTTTTTAAAAAAAAATTTGTGATTTTTTCCAGAGCAACGCTACATTGGAGACCGCATTGGATTGGCTTTGTCTTAATATTCACCCGAATGAGCTGCCTCTAAAGTTTAGTACCGGATTCTCTGTAGATGATAAAGGTGGAGCCTTTCAAATTTTCTTTGCCTTGTCGAGCTAAATGCGTTTTCCCCAGGGGGTTCTGTCCAGGTCTTGGCATCATCTCAAGGCGATTCAAGTAAATCCTCCGAAAGCATCAGAGAAAAGAGCGATTTTACAGATCTCTTGCAACTTAATGCCAAGGAGAAGCGAAAAACCTCAGAGAACGATGCTGACAAAGATTGGATACGGCAATATGTTGCTCAACAAGAGGAGGTACGGTAAGAGATCGTTTTTGTGAATGCGTTTAAGCTGTGACTTCAGGAGGAAGAAGACGACAGTCAGAGCGATCTTTCAGACTGGGAGGTACTGCTTGAATGTTTTGCCTGTCTTTCTAATTGTTGAAAGAACAGGAGCGCGTGGATGGCAAATTTTCCCGACATAGAGTAAGTGCTTTTTACGTGTAACAGCGTCTAATATATTTATCACGTAGAACAATCCACTTGATTCAGCAGAGAAAATTGCACTGGCATTTGTATCTGCAAAACAAGCTGCATCAGAAGCCAAGGCGAGAGAAGACAAGCAACGTCAGAGCGAGGCAGGGAAGACCATTAGAGATCTCAAGGAGAAAATGCTTTCACTTGGTATGAGGTTTTACGCACGAATACGGCTGACGATCTTCCTCTCAGGGCTAAATGAAGACGATTTAGTTTCTTCTGTGGAGGTTCGAACGGCTTCAAGTGATCAACCGATCGAGGATGAAGCGACTTCAGTTGACCAACCGAGCGAGGATCAAGCGGCTGCAAGTGTTCAACCGAGCGAGGATCAAGTTGCTCCGATTGCTACTATTGATCAAGAAAGCTCGCTTGTGGACGCTGGCCGTGCTTCTGAGAATAAGCAACAGCTGACGGAACATTCTGATGATAAAGCCGTGGAAGACGAGGAAAATCTAGGTGGAATGTTTGACGAAGAATCTGCGCAAGCTGTGACCATTCCTCAGACGCTGCTCAAATTGCAAAAGAAAGAGGAGATCAAACCCTGGGGAATGAAAGACTCCCGTGGTGACAAAAGCAAACGTAAAAAGGTAAGAACATAACGTTCTCCTTTTTTTACTCACGGTGCTTCTCTGTTAAAGGCAGTTAATGAACCACAGAAATTTCCACGAGCAATTCTTCAACAATATTGCCAGAAAAATGGATGGGAAGCTCCTAAATTTGAAAAGCTAGCTGCTCAACAAGGTGCTTACAACTATGCGATAACGGTATTCCGTCCAAGAGTGGGACGAGGAAAACAAAAGAAAGGCGGCGGTCCAGTAACGTTTAGTTTTCCAGACGCGGATCTTTTCAGCACAGTTTCGGTTTGTTTTTCACTTCTTCTCAGTAGACCTGCAACTATTTATGGTGTTCGCTGTCTCGTTCAGGAGGCACAAGATGCTGTGGCCACTTGGAGCTTGTTTTCATTATTTCCCGAAGCACCTATATACCTTGAGTTGGCAGAACCTTTTCGATCAATGTGGCTACGTTGGCATGAGCAAGGTGGAAGTTTCTTATGTCCTTCCATTTCTGTGAATTATATCTACGTTTTATGTGCAGGGAAAATGGCAACGGAAGGCAACACTGAAACTAGAGATGATTTTATCAGCTCTCTTCTTGAGTCTGAAAGACCAAGAGTTTCTCCTGACGAGGCTGTACGTACTACGGAGAGCACTTCAAAACCTTTCCAACCGCCTGTCATCGTTCGTGAGCGCAAGAGTTTCAGGCAGACAAGTAAGTCCATGTTACCAAGAGGATCTGGCTAACACACGAGTCCTTGCAGATCATGACGCTGTCAGCAGTCATTTGAAGCTCATTCAGGAAAGAAAACTGAAAGACAAAAAATATCAGGTACAGGTAGCTGTTTATGTGCCTCAATGAAATTGGTTCTGTGGTGAAAGGCAATGCTGTCTGCGCGTCATTCACTACCTATAGCGTCAGTTAAAGAAACAATTCTCCAACACTTGATTACGAGCAATGTTCTCGTAGTAAGCGGTGAAACGGGAAGTGGGAAAACCACTCAGGTAATGACTTCAATTTGTAAGATAAAGAGTTTATGCATTTTTAGTACAGGTGCCACAGTACATCTTGGATGATATGATCGCTGCCGGTCAAGGTAGCTCATGTAAAATCATCTGCACACAACCTCGTCGAATTGCTGTAAGGTTTTGTGTTCTTGTTAAGCTATAGAGCTGATAAATGCGTTTGTGTTTGTTTACCAGGCTATTTCAGTTTCTGAACGAGTGGCAAGTGAGCGATGCGAGGCAGGACCCGGGGAAGCAGGAAGTACAGTGGGATATCAAGTTCGTCTGGATGCTTCATGGTAATGGTAACTTTTTTTTATATGATTTCGGCTGGAACGACATGCCTTTCAGGACTGATGACACACGCCTTTTCTTCTGCACAACGGGTATATTGCTTCGGCGGCTTGCGGTAAGTCTGCGTCGTTCATGGGGAGTTTCTAACTCCGTTAAGAGTTCTAGAGTGACCCAGACCTTTGTGATGTTTCACACGTTGTTGTCGACGAGGTGCACGAACGGACGGTTTTGGTACGTGTCTTATGGAAGTTCCCCATTGTTATACCTGTGTTTTGGTTTCAGGGTGACTTTTTAATCAGTCTGTTGCGAGACTTAGTGGCAAAGAGAAATGAGGACAAAATGAACCCACTTAAAGTGATCCTGATGTTAGTGTACACCGCGTCATTAGAGACATTAACATTCTTTTTTCGCTTGATGCAGGTCTGCGACACTGGATGCTGACAGATTTTCTCAGTACTTTGGAGGTTGTCCTGTGGTGGTTGCCACAGGCCGCACTTATCCTGTGCAGACCTTCTACTTGGAGGATATATACGAGAAACTGGAATATCGTCTCTCATCTGATAATCCAGCAGCATTGCAGAATTATTCATCACATGATAAGGTTCATAAAAACATTGTAAGCAGTGTTTGGCTAATGCTATTCTGCAGAGGGCTTCTCAAAATGTGGTTGACAAGAATAGAGGACGGCAAGATTTGGCCCGCATGGGATGGGGTGATGACCAGATACTTGAAAGCAGGCCGGTCAATCCCCTCTACGAAGAATCACATTATCGCAAGTATTCCGAAAACACTCGGAAAAATCTGGTATGGTTTTTGTTCTCTCTATCTCTCTCTCTGAGTTTACCTGCATTAGGCGAACGTCAATGAGGACGTGATTGATTATGAGCTTCTCGAAGATCTGATCATGCATATAAATGAGACGGGAGATCCTGGTGCCCTTTTAGTGTTTCTTCCAGTGAGTCCACCTGGTTTCTTACCGTCTCTAATTTTTTCTTTGTTGTTTTGATGATAGGGAATGCCTGAAATACTTCAGTTACTTGATCGTTTAATGGTACTGAAAACATTCAGTGGTCCTGCAGCTGAGTGGCTTTTGCCGTTGCATTCCTCGGTTGCTCCAGCAGACCAGCGAAAAGTTTTTCAAGTGCCTCCACGTGGAATTCGCAAAGTAAGAAACCGTTTTGTCCTGCAAGTTACCCTGTCATTCTAACAATTGCATTGTAGATTGTACTGGCCACGAATATTGCAGAAACAAGCGTGACAATTGAAGACGTTGTTCACGTCATAGATTGTGGAAAGCACAAAGAAAATCGTTTTGAACCCCGACGGGTAATACCTGGCACCAGTGCTAAGTCTCATACTGATATAGCATTTGTAGAGAATGTCGCGCATGATGGAGGCCTGGATATCACAAGCAAATGCGCGGCAGCGCAGAGGACGAGCCGGACGAGTGAAAGCTGGGAACTGCTACTGTTTCTACACAGAGAATCGTTTCGATAAACATATGCGTCCATTTCAGGTAATGCAATTTTTCTTTGACCCTCTGTTATTTGATGCGAGCACTTCAGCTGCCGGAGATGCTCCGTGTTCCTTTGGTGGAACTCTGTTTGCAAATCAAGCTTCTTTCTGTGGAGAATGTGGCTTCGTTTCTTGAGAAGGTATGTGTCGTTGCTTTCACAGAACAACCTAATCTGGTGCCAACAGGCTTTGGATCCACCCAAGACTGAAGCTGTCGAAAGTGCACTGTCCATTCTTCGTGAGGTAGACGAATTTCTCATATTTTTAAGCATGTATTGATCTGATACGCAGGTTGGAGCGCTCACAGAAGAAGAATATCTTACTCCACTAGGCAGTCATTTAGCAGCACTCCCAGTGGACGTACACATTGGCAAGGTAGCAGCACTGTTACATTGTTTCTGACTGAACTAACTTTACTTCCATGTAGATGTTGCTGTATGGCGCACTCCTTGGCTGTTTAAGTCCAGTTTTAACCATAGCTGCTTATTTGAGTCACAAGTCACCTTTCGTCGCCCCTCTTGGTCAGGTATTCCATTCCACAAATCATTTTTATGCCAGCTGACCCCCTCCACGCACAGAGAGATGCTGCTGAACGAGCTAAACACGCATTTGGTGACACAGCAGCGGAGAAAAGTACTATCGCGTCTGGTAGACAGTCTGATCACCTGGTCATTGTTGCGGCTTATGAAAACTGGAGACGGCTCGTTACTCAGGTTTTAGCTTTCTACATCTTCCTTTGTCTCATCAGACTTGCTTACAGGGAGGCGCAAGGGCTGCAAGACAGTTTTGTGATGCGAGTTTCTTAAGTATGCCCGTGCTAAACATGCTGAGGTAGCTCTAATCTTTTAAGAAAAATTGATAAACTACTGGCATCGTGTTGTGCAGGGAAATGCGACTGCAGTTTGCCAAGCTTCTGAGAGACATTGGCTTCATTTCCAAGGTTCCGGCTTTTCAAGTTTCTTATCATTGCAACTCGTTTTTCCAGGTCGATTACCGGGCTGCGGACATTGATAAGTGCCTGGACGAGATAAACCAGCCGTTCAACCAGAATGCTCAATCTGCATCAGTCATCAAGGTTCTAGTAGCACCATTTCTTTTTCCATAAGCTCTGGAAGTTTTTGGCAGGCTGTTCTTTGTGCGGGACTCTATCCCAATGTGGCAACGATGATGGAGGAAAGTGTCAAGGCGGGACACGCAAACGCCCTCAATCAACGCGCTGGTCTGGCGTCGGAAAAGAATCCGCGGTGGACCGATGGCCGCCGTGAAGTCTACGTTCATCCTTCCTCCATAAACTCTAAAGTGAAAGAGTTTCAGCACCCGTTCTTGGTGTTCCACGAAAAGGCAAGTCCCTCTCTTTTTTATTTGTCCAATTTCTCCGTGACAAGATCTCGCATTGCTTCTTCATTGCAGGTGGAAACAAGTAGAGTTTATTTGCGAGACACAACTGTTCTCTCTCCCTTTGCGCTTCTCCTCTTTGGTGGCTCCATCAAAGTCCAACACCAGGTATTGCAGGGATGGAAATATTCGCATGTAATCTCTTACTGGGTTTAAATCACAGGTTGGATATGCGACTGTTGATGACTGGATGAAGATCGACGTTCCAGCGCGAACTGCTGTGCTCTTCAAAGAGCTGCGGTCTTCACTGGATTTGCTACTCAGCGAGCTGACCAAATCACCTCAGGAAAGAACCTTTTGATGCTTCTAGCTTTTTTCCACATTGTCCTTTTGATTCCTCTATCTTACGATCACTAGATCTCTTTCTTTGCAGGGATTGTCATCAGCTCGTGGAAAAGAAGTAGTAAACTCGGTGCTCAAACTTCTCGTTTTAGTGGAGCAGTGATCAGGTTTAATTATAACTAAACTCGAATTATAAACAAAAGGAACAAAGTTTACACCCTCCCTTTGCGCTTCTCACCAGGTAGTTCTGAGATAGAAATATTCGTGTAAGGTTTAAATCCCAGGCTGTGGATGACTGGATAAAGATAGAGCTCACCATGTCATGGTTCCTCGACCAGGTTAAGTTATATTTAATAAGCTTTATTATAACTAATTTAAAATTTATATCAGTTAGCAGAATTGATTAATTAATGAATTACAGCTTAAATTTAAGATATTTTCTTAATTAGAGCCAGTTTGTATTCCCTTGTTTTTTTTAATCCTCCACCATGATCCCACATGAAGCATAGAATCGTCCTCTATGGCCCTTTTTTGGGCATACATAGTAACAATTACGCACTAATTACATACCACTTTATCGAATAAAGTTTAATAGTATAAATAATAATGGGAGAATAAAGTTCACTCCTTTTCGTGGGCAATGCGAACAATGCGGCGGGGGCTGATGCTTCCTGTTGCTGCCAAACTAGAAAACTTGAATCTGGACAAAGATAAAAGAAAGAAAAAATTAAAAGGGACAGTTCTGTTTAAATCAATACTTAGCACTAGCAGTAACTTCGTTTTCCTCCTCTCCATCAGGGATGTAGCTTTCTTCTTCGTCTTGAGAGAAAAAAAGAAAAACTTGCTTCTTAATCTTGATATGTGCTGTCCCACCTGGACAAATCCCCAGAATCTAAACCGGATCTTGGCCATAGCCGGTGAAGCTCCGCCTATGCTGACAGGGCGCCGTCAAATGCCACGTGGAAGGAGAAAGGCGGCCGCCAGAGCTTACCCATTAGTAATGTGGATAGGCTCTCCATCCTTCCAAATCGTCTGTGATATCAACATGTATATTTGCTGCAAGTGGTATGGGACCTCTAGGAAATGCTTTATTTTAGAAAGAGATTCCATCTTGTAGGGTTATATATTGTCAGGGACCTCCACATTTTCTCTGTCAATCGATTGAACCAATATAAAGACCAGACCATGGCGAAGCAATTCACGAACGATTCTCCAACACCCGACCTCTTCTTCACTCATTTGTAAACCATGGCTCTCTTCCTTCCTTCCTACATTGAGATCTACAACAACACTTCAGATGTCTACATGGTCCAAGTGGAGGAAGACAAAATTTTCTTCAAATATGCCAAGTGGGTAGTAACAGCCTTTGCTGTGATCTCCACCATAGTTGCCACCGCTGGAGCAGCATCTCCTTTGGTAGCCGTTCTAGTAGCAAATGGAGTTGTAGAAGTGGTTGGGCTCTCCACTGCAGCACTCCTTGCAATTACTTCAGCAGCTGCAACCATTTCTGGGATTTCATATGCTAGTACTGCAGCTGGTTGGGCATTGAGCACTGTCATCTTCTTCCAGGACAAGTTAAGAGATGAAGGCTACGTTAAGATTCTTCCAGGTATATTCTACTCCTTGCAATCAATCTAAGTACCTCACAAATGGACATTATTTTAGGTGAAAAACATAAGTTCCAGGTGATTGGGAATGGACCATTTGGCTGGAGGCAAGCCAGTTGTCGCAGGATCCGTGTCAACCCTTATAACAAAGAAGAGGTGGTCATGGACACAGTTTATATGAGGCCAATCTTTTCAGGGGCTTTGCCATTCACTACCCGCGAGCATAACATCCAATACTGGATTGATAAATGGGGGCACGAAGACTATACTGTAATGCGTTTAAGCCAGAAGAGCCGTAAAGCTATTTGATCGCCTGTGACCTCAGATGAAGAGTACTATTACTAGTATATTATTTATTATTTAGTAGTAACAGATAGAACATAACACTCACCGGCACGGCAGGAAGATCGACCCAGCGCCCTGCCCAAGGGAAGAGGACAGTTGCATACTTGAATCATGCTCATGGGAGGTTGTGTAAGACCATTGTAAATAATATATGAATGAATGAAGGGCAATATTCATTCATTAGCTGTTTACACGGTCTTCCAAAGAGCATGAAACTTCTCTCTTCGTGATATGTTTGTGCCCAAGCTCCACTCCCCATAAATCCAGAGCGAGAAGCAACTCCATTGCCACTTAATGGAAACTATTGTGGTGGAGCTGACACACAAGTCGCCCACATTCTTGCGAAGACGCAGTCGTGGCCGCAAGACTCTATAGCATCATCGAGCAGGATCAATGCCAAGGCCAATCCGAGTGAACATATCGTAATCAACGGGACTGCCATCCTCTACTTCTTGACCATCAACGAGCCGCACGAGCTCCTTTGCCACGTGGAGGCCCGCCGAGCCCAAAAAATTTACAGCATGAAGACGTGAACAAAAAAAATCCTAGAGCTCTCGGAGGTGAGCCTGGCTCACCCCTCACTTGGAGCACAATGCCAGAATTCGCATTTCTGGGGCAACATGATCGCTGCCGGTCAAGGTAGCTCATGTAAGATCGTCTGCACACAACCTCGTCGACTTGCTGTAAGGTTTTGGGTTCTTGTTAATCTACATGGAACGACATGCCTTTCAGGACTGATGACACACACTTTTTCTTCTGGCATATTGCTTCGGAGGCTTGCGGTACGTTTGCGTCGTTCATGGGGAATTCCTAAGCTTTCTTAGAGTGACCCAGGTTGTTACGAACGGACGGTTTTGGTACGTGGCTTATGGATGTTCCTCATTGTTAAACCTGTGTAGGGTGATTTTTTAATCAGTCTGTTGCGAGACTTAGTGGCAAAGAGAAACGAGGACAAAATGAACCCACTTAAAAGTGATTCTTATGTTAGAGACATTTTCTAGTCCTGTGGTGGCTGCCACGGGCCGCACTTATCCTCTGCAGACCTTCTATTTGTCATCTAGCAGCATTGCAGAATTATTCATCACATGATAAAGTTCATGTAAGCAGTGTTTGGCTAATCTTATTCTGCAGAGGGCCTCTCAAAATGTGTGACAAGAATAGAGGACGCCAAGATTGGATACTTGAAAGCAGGCCAGTCAATCCTCTCTATAAAGAATCACTTTATCGCAACTATTCTGAAAACACTCGGAAAAGTCTGGTATGGTGTTTGATTTTCTCTATCTCTCTCTCTGATTTTATCTGTATTAGGTATAAAATTTCCTTTTCAAGATGCTTAGCACTGGGCATGTGGGTATCTTCTTTGTGCTTTCGACAATCTACTTGTTTCTGCAATTGTTTGTGGCCAATACAATCTAGAATGACATATGGTAACTTGCAGAACTGAAAGCCAATCACCACTGAGTGTTTTGGGTACCATTAAACGATCGAATAACTGAAGTATTTTAAGCATTCCCTATCATCAAAACAGCAAAGAATGGTAAGAAACCAGGTGGACTTACCGGAAGAAACACGAAAAGGGCACCAGGATATCCCGTCTCATTTGTATGCATTATCAGATATTTGAGAAGCTCATGGATATCACAAACAAATGTGCGGCAGCGCAGAGGACGAGCCGGACGAGTGAAAGATGGGAACTGCTACTGTTTGTACACAGAGAATCGTTTCAATGAACTCATGTGTTCATTTCAGGTAATGGCGTTTTTCTTTGACTCTGTTCTTTGATTCGAGTACTTCAGCTGCCAGAGATCCTCCGTGCTCCTTTGGTAGAACTCTGTTTGCAAATCAAGCTTCTTTCTGGTGGAGAACTTGAGAAGGTAAGCGTCGTTGCTTTCACAGAAGCACATGTAATGTCACAACATTACATGTAAGCACATGTAATGTATGTAATGTCACAACAGGCATTGGATCCATGCAAGACCGAAGCTGTGGAGAGTGCACTGTCCATTCTTCGCGAGGTACAGAAATCTCTCATACTTTTAAGCATGTATGGAGCGCTCACACAAGAAGAATATCTAGATATTCTTCTTCCGTGAGCATCTACATGGAAGTAACGCTATTTTCCATTAGGCAGTCATTTAGCAGCACTCCCAATGGACATACACATTGGCAAGCTAGCAACACTGCTAAACCGGTTGTTTCTCATTGAACTAACCTTACTTCCATGTAGATGATGATGTATGGTGCACGGCTCATTTCTCAGGGTTTAGCGTTCTACGTCTCCTCTTGCAGGGAGGAGCAAGGGCTGCAAGACAGTTTTGTGATGCGAGCTTTTTAAGTATGCCCGTGCTCAACTAGCTCGAATCGTTTAAGGAAAATTGATAAACTGGCATCGAAATGCGACTGTAGTTTGCCAAGCTTCTCAGAGACATTGGCTTCATTTCCAAGGTTCCAGCTTTCAACCTTTCTTTGCTTGCTTTCCAGCTTTCATGTCATGCCTAGACCTCGAGGTCACTGCTGTTAGCATGTTGGGCCAAGGACGAGCTTCTAATAGCACCATTTTCCTTCCATAAGCTCTAAATTTCTGGCAGGCTAACATTCTTCTGTGTGGCAACGATGATGGAGAAGAGTGTCACCAACGCCCTGAATCAACGGTGTGGCCTCGGAAAAGAATCCGCCAGAGTGAAAGAGTTTCAGCATTTCCTCGAAAAGGTAAAGTCCCTCTCCTTTTTCTCTGTGACAAGATCATGCATTGCTCCTCCATCGCAGGTGGAAAGAAGGTCGGTCTATTTGCGAGACCTCTCTCTTTAACTAAGGTATCTTCGACTTTGGTTAGCTTAGTTATTAGAAAGTTTGAATGATGATTCACTTTTACTTTTTTTTAGCTTTGTCCTTTTCAATTGCTCCATCATGCTGTCTCTCTCCTAGTGTAACAATCATTGATATTAGACGGAGCAAGTGAGGAGGAAGAAACACTATGGATAAAATGCAATAAAGTGATGATCACACAATAAACCTTTTCCTGGTGTGATTTTAAGATAAAAGATTGAAGACCCTAAACCCTAAACCAGTGTTTTCATTTTGATGCAAAGTTTAGGTTGAGATGAACCCTAAATTAAAAATAATGTGTACATATATGTATAAAATAGTGGTCTGAAGTTACACATTTAGGGCCACGTGGCAGAAATATGAATTTCTACATCCGATCATTGAGAGGAGCAAGAGATTGCACGAACTATTGCGGATTATCAAATCTCCCCACATAGCCCGCCATAGCCACACGAAATTTGTGATGAAATTGGAAGGGCAGGCAAAAGAAAAGAACGTTTCGAATCACGATTGAAAGTATGTTTATCTTTCGGGAACATGCCTTAAATTGCTTGGAAGAACTTGAAGGATTGGACTGCTCCTGGCGGTGCCTGGCTTCCCGTTCAGCCAGACTTGTGGGAGGGAATCAAGGGCGCTGAGGAGAAGCAGGAGGCCAAGGGGTGGTGGAGTGGGCATGGATTCGAGGACGGAGGGAGTTTTATAAGATCTGTAAGTTTCTGGCAGGCTGTTCTTTGCGGGATTCTATCCCAATGATGGAGGAAAGTGTCAAGGCGGGACATGCCAACAGGCGTCGAAAAAGAATCTGCAGTGGATCGATGCAGATTAAGTTCTGGGTTTACGTCAAGAGATAGACTCAAAGACTTGCAGAGATCACACATTGTTTCTTTATTGAGGTGGAGGTTTATTTGCGAGACACAACTGTTCTCTCGCTTTGCACTTCTCTTCGGAGAGTCCAACACCAGGTATCAAGCTGAGATAGCATCTCTCCCACATTTTTCTTTTGATTCCTCTCTTGCCTTCTAACTAAGATCTCTTCTTTAAAAGAATTTTGTGGAAAAAAGTAAACTCGTTTATTTAATAAGAAAATGTAAGATATTTTCTTTTACTTATCATTCATGCACTAAAAATATTGAGGCTAAAAAATTATAAATGAACAAACTTGTCTTTTGAGCGTTTATATAGTTATTATCCATTACTAGAAAGTTAATATTACAGTTATTTTGAAATAATAATAGTAAAACTAAATGTATAATAAAAGTCAAACTTTTAAAAAGTTAAAAATTTAGAAATAAAATATGTTATTATAGTTTTCAATAAAAATAAAAATCTTAATGTGTGACATACTATGGCTATGATGTTGTATACTATTATTAGTGTGTGGGATTTTAGTAGTCAATCTGATTGGTTTTAATTCAAATCACTCGCTTCTGTATAATCAAATATGCAGATTTTTATATTTTATGCATTCACATTGGTGGAAATGAAAGGTAGCTCTAATTATCCTTGAAAAGTGCTTGGATTTATGTTTTTGGTTTAGATATAACTTTTGCATCATTTAAATCTTTGTTCTTTAAATAATTTTTCATTTTCTTCTCTTTTCTTTTACTTATTATCATTTATTTTCATGGTAGAGTAATAGGTTCCTCCTCTTTTGATTCTAGAACATCAATTCATGCAATTTCTTAATGCTATACAATTACAATTAAACAATCAAACTCAAATGATAGTGGCATTTATGGTGTGTGACGTAACTCCTCCTACTTTTGTTACCAATCCTTGTATCTGGCTAGAATTCTTTTATGAGAATCCGTGGGATGATATATACCATTAATTTGATCACTTTACAATGATTACTACCTATCATTTTTAAAATGATGTATAGTGTTTGCATGAGTTTCCCATATATCCCTAAAAAATAGCATTGTAGTGGTACAATAATTTGAGCATAGCAACCCATATGGATTGGAGCTTTTTCTTAGACATCTTGCAGTGTACATTTGGATATATTGATGATTACAATAATGCCTCTAGCAATTGTATTATTTTTGTCAAAAATTATTTGAGTTAATAATGCAATTTGATGTTCACTTCCAAAAGCCTTTTGCTTCATGTGGAGCTATATATATTAGAGTACATCAAAT